GTCCTGTTTCAATGTGAGGATGGTGGACGGAGGATGTCATGCAGACAAGCAACACGTAGGAAACATAATAGTGTTTGATTTCACTTCAGACCAGATATCTGTTAGTTCAGAGGCTATGATGTGTTCACATGTATTTAGTCATTAGCATCGTTGTGTGTTGGTACATCTTAGGTAAAGAGGTACAAATGAAACACGTATGTATGGTTTACATGTTGTACTAACGTGTTATTTGTAAGTGCCTTCTCCATTTCAAAGGTTAGTCAGATGAGTGATTGATACAGAGGGAGCTACTCACCTTTCACACTGCACAGCTACATGACGAGCGTCAGCAGAGCAGGTGATACGGCACACCGTCGACTTGTGGGAAATAAAAGAAAGACAAGGAGTGAAGTCATTACAGGCCTCTCACTGTTCTTACAGAAGAAGGGGAGGTTACCTACTGTCTGCACTGCTACTTAATAAGTAAGGGCGTCAACCTGGTTCTGCCTCATTGCTCTAAATATCTCTAAGACGGTGACTTTAAAGCTGCATTACTGCACCGTGTTATTTTCACTATAGATGACATGACTACAGTGTGTATAGTGTGAAGAGTGTTGCTCGTAGTAACAAACCCTCATTAGAGTTATGCTCAGCCCTACAGAGCGCTTCAGCCTCTTCCTGCTCATTGCTGTGGTGTTCAGCTGCTTCCAGTGAAAAGGCTCTGATGTACTGAGTGCAAACAACACTAACGTAAAACACACACTAACAGCGTGGAATGGTCCTCTTAAGAGAGAAACATAATATTGTGGCAGCACATGAATATGTTTACTGACTTTATAACAACAATAAAGTGGTTTAATCATGTAAGTGCTTGTTCAATAACAAGTACCTTTAAATGCACTCAAGGCTTGGTGGCCTAAGCAAACACATTCAAACTAACATTACAAACGTGACTCATTTTAGACTCTGATTTAAATTTGAATCCTCATTTTAACAATGTCATTAAAACTGGCTTTTTCATTTTAGGAATATTGCCAACGTCAGGCCTTTCATTCATGCATTTATTATGAGCCATTCAGACTGCTGTAACTTCATCTCCACTGGATCACCTGATGAGTCGATAAGAAAGCTAAAGCTAGTTCACGCTGCAGCCCGGGTGGCATCACCCCAGAGAGTAACACACAGCTGCCTGTATCTTCTACAATGGATTCTGAAGTTTTTTACTTGTTTACAAACCTTTCAACTAAATGACTCCTAAAAAAGACTTTCATTTTATGTTGCAGCCAGATCACCAAGGTGCTCCTCGTGTTCCTCTTAGATGTTCCTTGTGTGTCCCATGAAGGGAACAGTGAGAGGGCCTTCTCTTCTACAGTGGAGCGTGCTGCCTCTGGATATCAGAATGCTAAACTCTCCCTGTATCTCTTCAAGGAAATGAAGAACCTCTCTTTTAAACCCAGCATTTAACCTAAAGTATTTCTACTTAGGCACGTGGTGCTTTGAGCCAAATGCTAACACGTCTTAGCTTCATTACCCGACGGACCCCAGATGTGCTGGGCCTGCCAGATGGGCTTGGGGTCCTGCCCTTACAGATGAAGTCACACATTCTGATTGGCTGTGTGTGGGAGAGACTAAACTGTGCACCCTTATGCACCGCTCCTACTCTGCGTGCGATTGGCTGTATCCTTCCAGGCCGTTGCTAAATGCTAACGTTAGCCTAGCTATGATGCTTAACGACGCTATGGACTTTGTCCCTGTAGTCCTGCGGTAGGTACCCGATCCACTTCTGAGACATCTTTAGGCGAGAAGTCAACGGTCACAATCACTTCAGAGGGTTGAATGTGTTTGAGCCCCGTGGGCCTTTGGATTCTCCTTTATTTGTCTTAAAGCACGGAGCTCTTTAGTTACACATGAATATTGATCAATATTCATGTGTTTATTACTACTTAAATGTTTGGGGATATTTTTGTTATTTGTGACATGCTATATGGAAATAAATAGAGTCAACATGTAAACATGCGAGACCATCAAAATATATATTTATGAATTATATCAGAAATGTTGTATTTTAGTTTATTTTCATAAAATGTACATTCCAAGTTGTAGTTAAGAGCAGCAGACCATCATTACCCATAGATCTTGATTATTATATTGATGGGTATATTGCCTTTGAAATTTAGATTTTATACGAGGTGATCTTATTTTTTTCTTTACTGCATCTCCGCTTACTCTGGAACAGGAATATACATAGATTTACTTACAATGGATTCCTTTTCCTTAGCTTCGTACATTTCAAATGAGACCAGAGTTATGGTTGGGGAGCTATTTCTGAGTCATTTTGGGGGGGGGCTATTTCAGGCAGTTTGTCTGAGGGATAGGGCTACATGTTCACAGGTTAGTTAGCATGCTAATGTTTGCTAATTAGCACAAAACACAAAGGACAGCTTTGGTCATAAACCAAAAAGTCAGAGGATTACCAAAGTCATTATAATTCGTCCAGCAGGGAGGATAGATATTTGCATCACATTTGATGCATATAGAGGTTGAGACATTTCACTCAAAACCACAAATGGCGACCTCATGGTGGTGCTAGAGGAAAAGTCAAGGAGTCATCACAGTCAGTGGGATTCATCCTCTGGGGACCATGAATATCTGAACCGGTTTGTGGCAATCCATCCAATAGCTGGTGAGATCTATCAGTGAAAGACGAAGGGTCCCGGTATCACCAGTCATCAGGACATGCTTACCTTGTGTTTGACAGCCTCAGAGCTCGGTGCATCTTCAAGCTCCTTGAGGTCCCAGCTCTGCAGCTTACGGCCAGACTCGTACTCCCACAGCTTCATGGTCCCGTCCTGACAAGCACAAACCGTCACATTGGTTTCAGTTAATCGTCCCTGATGGAACCTTTGGGACAGTTTTGATGTTATGCGGTCAAAGTTTCAATGTACATTAGATCTTTGCTGCATTAAAATACAAACTTATGTCTTGCACAAGCGTGAGACTGTTTATGTGGAAGTGTTTAGATAGTAAGGTTTTAGAGTAGATGCATGTGTTTGTGAGGTAGTGAGCATACAACTGGATAAAGGACACTTGGACTTCACTGCACGAGTTGTGTGAGATTTTGTAAACAGATGTTTTGATATCATTTTGCTGTTTTTAACAATACGCCCATTTACTTCAACTGATCAAGACTTTTCTCCGTTCACCGGGAAAGCATGACAAAAAACAAGGTAACATTTTGATTTCCATCCCCATCGTGTTACCTCCTCCAGTGATAGATAGTGACTAACAAACTGATAAACAATCGGTCATTGTGTGAAGTATTCCTTTAAAAAGCAGATGAAAATCAAAGAGTCACATCTACACACAAATCTTTTTTTGACGATAGACTAAAATGGAGAGCATGGAGCTCATAATGTAGCCTGCGTGCATATGTAACTTGTAATGTGCACACACCCCCGATCCAGACAGAAGCCAGTGTGGATGACCTGGAGGGACCAGCAGAGCACTGACAAACCTAAAAGACAACACAGGAAGAGTATTAATGAAATACAACTTCACGCACGCTCGCACGCACACACACACACACACACACACACGCACACACACGCACACGCACACACACACACCTTTTTTCTTACCTTGAAAAAGGAGCAATGACTGTCTAAATGCACAGTTTAAGTCAGCAGGACTCATACGGTTGTTGATCAATACAAACCACACAGGTAGTACGGGGTCAGCCTGGGTTTTCACATTTACTTTTACCCGACTCCACTCCAGCAGCTGTTGCTGTGTCCCTGAGCATACAACCATCCCAACTGTGGTTGAAGCTTTAAGTTGAAGGGGGTTTAGAACACAGCTGCGGTCTAGATGAACCTGATTGCACAGGTTCAGCTAGACTGCAGCTTCTAAACCGTATAAGGTCTGCCCAGACAGGTGATAGACAGGAACAGCACATTACGCTGTAGTGTATACTCATTCAAACATTTTCAGTTTGCCCTACAATAATGTCACCTAACATTCCACTAAAAGAAGGTCTGAAATACATTACACTAAATAAGTATTGCAAGAGGAAACTTACAAAGCATCTAGGAGAAAGTGTTCCCTTCAGGTTCAGTTACTCACTGTTGATGTCCCAGGCAGAAGGACTGGATTTTGTATGGAGACCTGAGGTGGCTCACTCTGATCTTCTCGTCACGGTCTGCTGTGATGATGTACTTGTCGTCTGGCGACATGCTCTGAAAGACAGCAGAAGGGGGCAATCATTCAGTCGCTCAACTCAGGCAGACACATTATGAGACAATGGTAGACTAATGAGCCCAAGATCACGAGGGGATAAATGTGTCAGCAGTGTTCTTGCCAAGAACAGAAAAAAACAAACCTTGTCCTGTTTCATGTTCTGCTTTCTGTTGGAGTCAACAGTAACAGGTGCAACGTTTTACCCAAAGATGAACATTGTTCAACTCTCGGGGTCTGAAAAAAATGCCAAAGTTGCAGCGCTCAGTGCAGAATAGACACCTACCGCCTCCTCACGCTCCCATTGCAAATAATTCAAAAAATATACTGGCCGCAGGAAGAAAGGCCTCGTTATAAATGGCCCTTAATACAGCATTTTATCAGGAATATCACCACAGACACCCAGTTCATTACATTACAGTCATTTAGCACACTGGTTCTCAACTGGTCTGGCTGCAGGACTAATGACTCTGGGTCTCTCTGGCCATTTTCTCTTTTGTAAATCATCTTATGATTTGACTTTCACGACTCTCACCTCAACAGTCCTGCTCTGCTGTCTGTATCCTCGTCTCTCCCCGTGTGTCACGGTGTGTGTACATCTCACTCAAATCAGGAAACTTGTCAGAATACACAATATATATTTGATTGGCTGAGTTGCATCACGTGATGTGATTCACAACGCATTGATCAGTGTTTTCCCTGCACCGCTGAACAAGTGCCGTAAATGCTGGAATAATTCCGCTGCATAAAAAATGCCCTTCAAAATAAAATCACAACTTTTTTTTTTGTCAGGCAAAGGCCCACGACCCACTGAAAACGGGTCTGCGACCCACCAGTTGAGAATCACTGATTTAGCAGACACTTTTATCCAAAGCAACTTACAAAAAGTGTATTCAACATTCAGTATTCAAGAGAACTACTAGTCACCAGAAGTCACAAGTGCATCTCCTGCAAAACCTCATCTCACTCTGACGGCCCGCCCGCGGGCCGTCAGAGTGTTAAGTGTACATTTGTGTTATGTACACAACTGCCCTGTAACGATGAGTATTAATGTGATATCTCATTAGAAAGCTACGGTTCTTGTAATTCGATTTATGCAAACCATTTCAAGATACAATAACAACAGCAGGTACAGTTAACATCTCTGTCAAACAAGCACTCCAAAAATAGCCGATAAAATATCGCCGTGACTCACCGATTATGATTCATAACGTCCGCCTTGTGCATGCTAGTCCAGCAAAAACGGTCTTGTTTGATCGCTAAGGGTCCACTCGGTCGAATCCAGTAAAAGATTTAGTCCAAAACACATTAGTATGTCCATAAAGACCCACGGGGGGCTGTTGCATCATTTCAAATTAGCCAGCAGATATGATAACTCGGTGATTATTTCACTTTTCATGTCAACAGAGCGGAGATTTTCATTGCAAAATGGAGGCTGCATTCCGCCGGTTAGATTGACACCTCATTTGACCCAATAGGAGCTTCTATAGCCCGGTCACATTCTGGAACAGCCAACGAGAGTCCGCTTTGAAAGACAATGCCCGCCAATTGGAAACAGATCCTGTTCAAACTCAGGCTCCATATAGCCAATGAAATTACGAAGACAAGGATATGCAGATTTACCAGATTGAATCCTGGGAAAGTTTTCAAAACTGAAATTCAAAACCGTGACTGAGGTACCTGAGAGATTATCAAGAGCAAAGTCTGGTTCATGAGAATTTTCAAAAATCTGTGAAAGTTGACAATGGTTAAATATGATATAGTTAACCATACATCGACATAAATAAACTATAGTTCGAATTTCGGACACGTAGTTTATCGTAGTATATGCATTTTGACATGGTGACGCGAGCCTCCAAATGCGTTTTTGCGCGGCCGCACTCTTAGTAAACCACGTGTAAAATATTAATTTGCTGTCGTATTGTTATCGAATTCTAACTTATACCAGGTACCATGACTTCATCCTGTCGTAGGACTATGTTTTCCGGGTCATAAGTCCCAGCCATAGATAACTGCTGCCATCTGTTGGCCAAAACAATTCCAGGCGGAAATAAAATCCTTCTTTTTCAATGTGTTGAAAACTCCATAGCTCAATGCCAGTAGCACTTACAGTGATTCTGACTGTTTGTGAATAAACTTCAGAGTGTTACCGTTCAATAGAGACTAAAACCATACATGTACTCCCAATGGTTCAATAAGAGCTGTCAGTTTACTTTGGGTACGCTTTGGATAGGCGTTTTAGGCAAATTTTACAGGAGTGATAAGATTAAACAAGCATCTAAGAGTATACACCAGAGCAGAAGTACAGAAACAAACTAGTACGAATACAATAAGTGCAACAAACTAGTACGAATAC